TTGTACCTGATTTTCTAGCAAAAGTGATTTAACAGCCCTTACTCTACTATCATACCTGTAAGTATATGTTCTTATTTTTCCCTGAATTGCTGCTAGTGAAAGCAAAGACCAATCATCAAGGGTGAATTATTTAATACAATAATGTTTTAATAGCTGAGAAGAGACACAAATAGTGGAGACGCCTGTGGCTAATGGATTTCCCTGATAGGAGATAAAAGGCTGATTACACAGCAGAGCCAGGGAAGACCCAGTGCATTAATGACAATTTACAGGTCAGCTCACTTACAGGAGTGATTTAAAACGCACCATCTGTTTTCTAACTGTAGGTTGATAAATGTGATTCCACAGACAGGCAACAGCTCTTCCTCAGGAATTGGTACTTGTCTTTTCTGAATTTGGTTCGTATACACCATCATTTTACTGATTAGACTCCCAGCTTCTTTTGAAATTAAGTAGTTTCTAAATTGAACAGATTGATAGCAGTCAGTCTTGCTTCCATTCAGCCTTTCTCTGGTGCGTTAGAAATTAAGCCCTAATGCCCTAAGGCATCTGTTGCATGTATCAAATTAACTTCTGTCCGCTGTATCTATCCTGATTTTAGATATGTCCCATCCTTGGAAGAATCAAGAAAAGAGTTGCTCAGATACGTTTCGGTGTCCAGTGATTCAAATCACGCACCCCATTTGGAAAAGGCTGTACCTTCAACTATTCTTCCTCAGATGCCTCATCCCGCTTCTCTTCTCCTCCCTCTTTTGCACCTCCATTTTTCATGGACCAAAGCAGTTAGAAAGCCTCTTTTTCTTCCATTTCTCTCTTACCCCGTTTTAACCACTTTGTACTTTTTGTAATCAATATACAGTAGAGTAAGGATTACACACAGGGCTTTGGGCTACACTTTTGGTTTAAGTCTTGGCTCTGTCAGATTCTAGCCATGATGACCTTGTCCAAGTTATTTTTACTGTTTTGTGCTATTGTGCCACATATGAAAGTGGTGGAGTAATGTGACCCACCTCCAAGGACTGCTGTGAGGAATTGAGTTACTCAGCAGATAATGAGCCCTTGTAAAGCAGTGCCTGGCACATAGAAGTGCACACTGAGTGTGGTTATTGAAACTGTAGTAGACAACTGAGTGGAAGATCAGGATTATATGGTGCTTTTCTTGGATCTATCAGTCAGCTTCCTGAGTGAAATAAGAATGGGGGAAAAGTTGACGAACTTCTTTCTATGTGTTGTAGTTATTCGTTAATTTTTTTTTTAAGATTTATCTATTTTATTTATTTGAAAGACAAGATGACAGAGACAGTGAGAACTTCTACTCATTGATTCATTCCCCTAATAGCTGCATTGGCTGGGGCTGATATGGACCAAAAGCAAGAGATAGGAACTACATCCAGGTCTTCCACAATGGTGACGGGGTCCAAGCAGTTGAGCCATCATCTGATGTCTACTCAGGTGCATCTGCGGAAAGCTGGATTAGAAGTGAAGCAGCTGGTGGTCAGACCAGCACTCCAGTATGGGATACCTGCATCTCAGGCACAGGCTTAGCTCACTGTACCACAATGCTGACCTCATCACTCACTAATTAGCACACATTTCTTGCACAGCTTTTATATATTAGATAAGTAGTTCTTTAGGCATGAACTCAGCAGTGGTAGGTACATCACCTGGAACCTTGTTAGAAAAGCAGCTTCTCATTCTGTTTCCTCCCTGCCGCCCAAGAAGATCAGATTCACTGCCTCAGAGGGCAGAACCAAGCAACATGTTTCACCAAGCCCTTCAGATGTTTCCAATGGGCCTCAGTCTGAGAACCACTGTCCCAGACACAAACATACAGACTGTGGGGGATATGTCGGTCCTGAATGACACCAGCCAAGAGCTGTTGAGAGGTTGGATGGAAACAGGGAGAAGTGATTTACAAAGGATGGAGTGAGCAACATATCATGTTTTGAGGAGGGCTTGGAAAGAATTCCTGGAAGAAGTGTTGCTTGAACTAAGTCTGGGGAAAAGGCAAGAACTTCTCTAATTCTAAGTGGGGGTAGTTACAATCCAGATAGCACAAAGGTGCATTTGGTGATGGGCAAGCCACTGGAGTTCCAGATTTTGTTTACCATTGTATCCGCAATGCCTAGAACATGGCTCTGGGTCACAGGAAAAGTATTCAGTTACTGTTTGAATGATGAAATGCAAAGGTCTTAAGTCACTGGATTTCCAGTCTTTGCAGTGTTTCTTCTAAGGTATGAGACATTTGTTATAAACGTACCTCACTGTGACTTTTTATCTTATTCTGTTCCTGTAAGTAGCTGGCCAGTTCTGGGTTGTGTAACACACTGTGTCTGAAAGCTTTATGAGGCTCACATTTGTTTGACACAAGCTTATTCTGAATCTACAAACTTTATCTGCAAATTATTGATGCTTCTTCCAAACACATTGGTCTTTGCAATTAGAAACCTTGACAGATTCCTCATTAAAATATGAAGAACCAAATATCCCAGGCAGCACATTTCCTTCTGCTTTAGTTATAATCAAACCTGCATACAAAATCACGAGGTCTTGTAGTTCCTTGGTCATGTTCTCATTTACTGCCCTGCGCCAGATGCTCACTCGTCTTTCTTCTGGCTGCCAGGGCATACTTCATAGCATCAAACACTTCCCCCAGGGCACCTCTGCATCTTCACACTGACCACAGCGACAGGTCTGATGGCTGATTCAAAAGAAAAGACTTATGCCAAATTAGACTCCAGTGCTGTAGTTGCTTCATCCTTTCAGAGCCACTTCTAAAAGAGTCATCCTATGGGATTTCTTCCTTAGCATCCCTGCCATGCTTCCTCTGGCTTTCAGTACCCAGCTAATTACATCTCTCTGGTCAGCTTGTTCTGCTCTCTGATCCCACAAAGCCTCAGAGGAAGGTTACTCTCACCTGTGTTCCCAAACAAGTTAGCCAGAGGTCAAAGGTATTCTAGAGGACAAAGGGACCTTGGGGAACATGGGCATCCTACTCCTTCTGACTGGTACCTCCGTCTTCTAGGGACATGAGTTCTCCAATTGTTACACAGGCCACGATGATCTATTACATGATAGATTCTGAACAAAATGCATAGAATTGAGAAAGCAAATAATTTCTCTGGTCTTACACAGGGAATAACGTGTGACATAGTTGTTCATTAAAAAATGTTACAACACATAATACACTTTAATAAGGTTGAAGTTTAAAGAAGAGTAGGGAGATGGGAGATCACCCCTGAGGCTCCAGGCAGGAACTGCTAATCTTGCACATGGATGTTCTAACTCAGAATCCAAATGCCTCTCTCCATACATCACAAACCTTATGAATAGAGCATTGATCTGGATGTTTTTGAACTTGAAAGCTTTGTTCTGTAAAATGTATTTTTCTGCACATCCCATTCTTTGATTTCTCTACAAAATGCGTTTTTCCTTTATTTCAGTCTTGCCCCCAGGAACATCCTCAGGCTTAGTACTTGTGCAGGAAAGATATTTGTTAAGCACTTTGTGCTTCAAAGATTTTATTGATGTAGAATTGGGTATAATTATTAAAGCCTTGGTTTTGCATAAAAAGCAACGTCTAACTGCCATGTAACACTTAACACAGTAGGAAACCTGTGTGTTCTTTGGCAATTTGACTTTTTCCGCTGGGCTCTTCGTGGCTTTCATTTATTTGGTTGTGGATGAGAAGGGCTAGCTGGCAGCCATTAGCAGTACTGATGTCAGAGGTAAATGAATACAATGCTACAGATGGGTAAGACACATGTTCTTGGCTTTTTGGGTACACGTAGACTAGGGCTGAAGCCAGGAAACAGAATTTTATGAAACACATCAGACTGAAGAATTTCATAGCCAGTTGTCAAAAAAAAAGAGAGAGAGAAATTGATGAAAACACTTATCCAACATACTCTTATTCTGAGCTGTTGACTTCATTTATCTAAATGTTTGTAGATTTTTGTTTTTCATTCTATCCCTTTGATCATTTCCAATTTGATGTCCTGTCACAGAATTATTTCTGAAAGATACTTGCAAATTTATCTAAATATGGGTAACTATGAACATCAAGATTTAGTCTACATTAGTCCACAAGGGAAGGACTAAAAGGTAAGAAGCAAGGGCCAAAGCAGATGGTGATTGATGGTTTGGAAGAACTTTGGTTAAAGGGAGACACAGTAAAGAGCTAGGTATCAGTCAGACAAGTTATTGTTTATCCAGAGAGGACTGAAAATCCAGTCTTCAACAAGAGCAAGTTATAAGAAGACGTAGTGATTCATTGTAAGTAAGACTAATGAGAGTGTGTGTACGCAGATGAACACGCTTGTGCTCAGGGAAGCTTTATGAAACCAAGACTTTAATCATTTATTTACAAATAGTCAAAACGTGAGGAAAGGAAGAAAGTGAGAATTATCAACAACACTAAAGTATACAAATTTAGGAGATATAACTTGGATAGTTTAATTTGAAAAATACGTTGTTTCAGGACTTCCTGTTTGCTACATCTTATATAAGCATAAGTTTAAGGCATCTTACATTTATATTAAAGGAATACAAAAGTTACAGACTATTTCCTTTGCATAAATAAAAAATATCTTCACAAGAATGAGATGTGCTTGTTTATTTCATGAATCTATAAACAGGCAAAATCAAAATCACATAAAACGTGATTGTAGGCAAAATACTATGACGTTTGACTGTAGGCAATATGAATGTAGAATGACAACTCTTCAGGAATACATTTATAAGTAGTTTAAGTTGATTGAAAATGATTAGTTATAATCTTTTCTCAATCATGGAGTCTCCCAATAAATTATACATACAGATATTTAACCGCTTATTTTGTGTTAAGTTTAGAAAATCAGCAGTAACTTTACTTATTCTTTGCAGATAGCTACCAAATTTCTGGAGCATGTGATCAGATTCATTTATCAAATTACTGAATGGATTACAATATTTGGTAACCAACTCACAGTAATTCTCCCTCACCTTTCCTTGTTTTACAGCTCGGCTCATCCTCTTCTGTGCCTTTTACATCTATTTTTTCACAGCTTTTCATGACTGTTGTGGCCCCTCTCATCATTGGACAGGTAAGGGTTCCAATGTTATCTTATTGCTTCTTGGTAGATCACATTGTGAGTTCTTCTACCATGTCAGGACTGTTCATTTAATTGTTTCTCGCATATGAACACATAAGACTGTAAAATGTAACACTTCATCGAAAGATAATAAAAGATGATATTATCATCTTTTAATATTTAAATGAATGTTTTTATTTTTGAAAGATTTATTTATTTTATTGGCAAGACAGATTTACAGAGAAGGAGAGACAGAGAGAAAGGTCTGCTGTCCACTGGTTCACTCCCTAAATGGTCACAACAGCTGGGACTGACTTGATCCTGAGCTGTGTTTTTGTGCACATGTTCCACCCTGTACCCGTCCCTTCTTTTGCCTCCTTTCCTAGACTCTCATAGTATATTCTACTTTGCTTCTATGTGATCAACTGTTTAGTTTCCAGAAATGAGTGAGAGCATACTATATTTGGTTTTCTGTGCCTAGATTATTTCACATCATTCCATCCTTTTATGGCTAATATTCCATTATATATCCACAAAAGCCAGGGCTAGGTCAATCAGAAGCTAGGGGCCAGAAACTCATTCCAGATCTCCCTTATAGGTAGTAGGGATCAACTACTTGAGCCATCACCTAGCTGGAATTGGGAATGGAGTCAGAACTAGAATTCAAGTGCCCTGAATGGGATAAGGGCATCCCAAGAAAGTAGACCAAATATCTGTTCTAGTATGTCACTTTTAAAACCCATTCATCTGAAGCTATTTGTTACATATCTGGCTGTACTGAGTAGAGCTGCAGTAGTCACGGGCACACAGGTGTCTTTTGGTGTGCTAGTTTCATTTCCTTGGGGTATGTACTCAGTAGTGGGATTGCTACATTGCATGGTAATTCCATTTTCAGTTTGTTGAGGCCCTTCCATGCTGTTTTCCATAAAGGCTGTACTGATTGATATTCCCACCAACAGTATATGAGAAACTTCCCCCTTTTCTGCATATTTGTCAGCATTTGCTATTTGTTGTGTTTTTCACAGTAGCCATTCTGACTGGTTTAAGATGACACTTCATTGTGGTTTCAATTTGCATTTCCCTGGTGGTTAGTAATATTGAGCAGTTTTTCCATATACCTTATGGGTTATTTGTATACCTTCTTTTGAGAAATTTTTCCTCAGACTATTTGGATCTTTAAACTAGATTATTATTATTATTGCTGCTATGTTCTTTATTCTATCAACCACTTGTCAATTAAATGATTTACACATTTGTTACCCACTCTGTATGTTGTCTCTTGATTTTTTTTTTAAAAAAAGATATTTTTATTTAACTTGAAAATGAGACTTAAAAAGACGAGGGAGAGAGATCACCCACCCTCATTCCCTTGAATGGCCACAATGGCCAAAGCTGGGCCAGTTTGAAGCTCTGGTCCTGGAACTTCTTCCAGTTCTCCCACGTTCTTGTCCATTCTCCTCTACCTTTCCAGGCCATCAGAAGGGAGCTGGACAGGATGTGGAACAGCCGGAATTCTAACCGGGGACACTTGGGATGTTGGTGCCACAGTGTGCAGCACCACCAGGCTACCCACATGTTGTCTCTTGATTGTATTAATTGTTTCCTTTGCCGTGTAGAAACTTCTTTTATTAAGACATCCTTTTCCTTTAAAAATGCTTTAATATAAACAGGAAAAATGTTGTGCATTCCAGGTAGTTTCGTATAACCACATTTGTCTAATTTCTCTTCCATTCTAGAGTTTCATTGCAAAATACTTGCCCATGTCAATGTCTTAAAATATTTTCTTTTGGTAATTTCATTGCTTAAGGTATTTATATTTTGATTATCGATACATTTTGAGTTGAGTTTTCATGCATGAACTTGTTTTAAAGAGTTTATGGAGAAATGATACTAAAATATAAGCTTGATTCTTTTAACTTTGAAGTAGGTACATTTTTTTCATAATACATGTTTTCATGCACTTTTTAGTGCCTCTTTTGTGCATGAATTTTAAACTTTTTTGCACCAAATCTTATCTTTCAGGTCCATTGTCCATATACTTTTCAGAACACTGGCATATGATGAGAGGAAGGAGTCTAGCTTATTTGTTTACATAAATATTTAAAATGTACATAAGGGGGCCCAGCGCAATGGTGTAGTGGTTAAGGTCCTTGCCTTGCACGCCCAGGATCCCATATGGGTGCCGGTTCTAATCCCGGAAGCCCCGCTTCCCATCCAGCTCCCTGCCTGTGGCCCGGGAAAGCAGCTGAGGATGGCCCAAAGTTTTGGGACCCTGCACCCGCTTCTGAAGTCCGGAAGAGGTTCCTGGCTTCAGACTGGCTCAGCTCCAGTCGTTGCGGCCACTTAGGGAGTGAATCATTGGACAGAAGTTCTTCCTCTCTGCCTCTCCTCTCTGTATATCCGCCTTTCCAATAAAAATAAAATAAATCTTTTTAAAAATTTTTTTTAAAGTTTTAAAAAATGTACATAAGGGAAACAAATTTCATGTGTTTTATAAATATAATTTTAAGAACATGCTGCTGCTTCCTGTCTTCCCCTCCCTCCTTTACTCTCACCCTTACTCTTCTGTCCTGGTTTGGTTTTTCTTTAATTTTCACAGTGACATCCTTTTACTTCATTTAATAATTATAAGCTTAACTCTCATTAAATAAAGAATTTAACAAGTAGTGAGTAGAAAAGTCACTGTTCTAGAGAATATAAATAAGGGCAATGAACAATAATGAAATATCAAAATGTCAATTTCGCTCATGTATATTGTTTTTTGTACTCTGTATATTAGTTGCACAAACCACAGAAAATATGTAATATTTATCTTTTGCAGACCAGCTTATTTCACTAAGCATAATTGTCACCAGTTGCATCCATTTTGTTGCAAAAACAAAATTTCATTTTTCTTACCTGAGTAGTATTCTACCATCTATAAAAACCACAGTTAGTATCATTCTTCTGTAAATGTTTATCCACATTTCCTGGCACCATTTGTTTAAAAATCTGTCTTTTGTCCAGCGTAAAAAACAAATTGGCTATGAGTGTGTGGATTATTTTCACATTTTTTCTGTTCTGCTTCATTAGCTCATGCATCTGTTTTTATGTCAGAAATATTTATTTTTATAAATTTACATGTCTACTTTTAAATTACTTAATAATTTTATGTATTTCACACATTCAGCTTTAATAGCATAGTGATACCTCCTTTCCTATTCTGCTATCATCCTTTTTCCTTCTATCTTTCTTGTATTTTCTTTTAATATTTGCAAGGATATACTTCTAGTTTGTTTTATAACCACATGCTTTACTTGCCACTAAGCAAATAATTTTTGTAACTATGAAACCGTTTTGGGAATATCAATGAATCATTATGGTTTTTTGATGACTTTTGGTAAGGTCATACCCTTCACAAAGGACCTTTGTTTACATTGGCATAGATTGCAAAGCATACAACGCTGCTGCCTCTTATAGAAATGTGCTGTCCTTATAGGCATCAGAGATCTGTGTATTTATCACTAGAATTTTCTAGCTGGAAGAAATAAGGTGCATTAAAGAAGGGACTCCCTTTTCTAATGCACAGAAAAGTGTTACCAGGGTAGCAGTAGGCATCTTTGACCTGGTCACCAACCTCAAGCTGCCCCTCCTTTTTTTTAAAGAATATATTTATTTTCATTGTATTTGAAAAGTATAGAGACAGAGAAAGAGATGTAAATGCACAGGGATTGTCCATCTGTTAGGTCACTCCATAAATGCCTACAAATGCAAATCTGGACCAAATCAAAGTCAGGAAACCAGAGCTCAGTCCAAGTCTCTCATGTGAATGGTAGCAATCCAACTACCGAAGCTATTCTCTGTATCTCCTCAGTCTGCTATGTCAGGTGGAGAGTAGTGAGCACTCAGGTATGTGTGGGGTCTCAGGTGGCAGCCCAACCCCTATGCCAAGTATCTGTGCCCCAAATTTGTTTTTTTTTCACTTTTAATTTGAAGTTGATTGAATATTTGGGAAAAAAAATTGTACAAAGAGTTTCCATGTCTATTTATAATCCAGTTTCCTCTCCTTGCTTAGAGAAAAGTAAGAAATCTGGCTCCTGTTTCTACCAGTACTTGTTAAAGCCAGTATACATGTGTAGCAGCTATAGAACTGTTAACACATACCCTTATAGAAAACAAGTTTATCATAGTTCAGTGCTATGTATAATTCCTTTTTCCTTTAGCCTTTTTTTTTTTTTTGCCTCGGCCATCATCTTCTAGTCAACTTAATTCAGAAGTTTTTCAACATCAACACGCCTGATCAACTGACCCTGCTCTCTACCCACCACCATCTTTAAGACTTGGCTTTTCTTCTTTCCCATCACAGAGTCTGTAGTCCATCTTTATAATCATGGCTTCTGTAATTATTCTCAGTTCATTGTGCTTGCTAGGAAAGGCCCAAGCTTTGGTAAATCTAATTCCTGCCTACTCACACATGCCACTGAACTACTACTCACATTTCATTGTGTTCATTAGCCTCACTCCTCTCAACCTCTTGAATGACTTTCAACCTCTTGAACTCACTGTGACCATTTGACTTGCCAAAGATCCAATCATGCTTCCAGCAGAACAACTGAGCTTTTCTTGTAAGAGAGCAATACACACTGGTCTCATTTTATTTTATATAAATGAGCCAGAATTTAAAATATGGCCCAATACCTTCCAGAAACCCTACTCCCTTGTCATTCCATTTTTCATTCTTTAACCCCAGTCTCCATTTTCAACTCTCTTTACCTCTCCTGCACTGTACCACTTGCCCATCATGCTTGACTCTGTTTCTCAAACCTGCCAGCCTTGTTCTTTCCTTTGAACCTCCACAATGACCACTCCTTGCACCTAGGACATCTCGCCATGTGCCTCTTTCACTGGCCACCTGTCACCATGGTGATACCCAGTTTTAACTTCTTCTGAGTGTGTGTCATTGTTCACTTGCTTATTCTGTTTGTTGTTTTGCTGTTCACTTGACACTCAAGTTGAGTGACCAGAAGTTGAGC